AGGAACAGGTTTACAGTTACAAGTAGTACAAGTATTTTTGGCATTTGAGAGCGCTGGAAATGAGGCCGAAGAATAGGGAGCTATGACAGGAGAATCTTATTTCGCCGTAGTGGTGGGCGTCGCGTGCGACGTCGCGATCGCAAATTGACGATGGTCCAGGTAGTTGATGGCGACAACAAGCAATCCAGAACCGAAAATAGTCATGAACGTCTAGATGACGGGTCCACATGAAGTCCGGTGCTCCAATCGACAGGTTAACACGAGTTAAGAAAACGCCGCGCCCATCGCCGCGCGCGGCGGAGCGGCAAATTGCGATTCTCATGCTGGTCTCCCGAAGGATAGCGATACCCGGCTGCCGTTTCGACCTCCGCCCGCGCTTTTCTCAAGATGCAACACATGCGTCGATACCAAGATCTCTGTTGAAGCGATCAATACTTTGACCACCCAATGACTTACTATTGGATAACTTTGGGCGGGCTTGGTGGGAAGTAGCCTATAAAAACTGCAGTTAGGTACTCCGGACATTCTAGTAATCGTCTACCGCCGACCAGCCTCGACCTTCCAAGCCGGTGCAGCCACCTCTACGACGCCCTCTACCGCCATCGCCCGAGGAAGCCGACTGCTGTTACATCGCACAGCGGAACACTCAGCGGCGGAAGATGAGTAGAAGCAGAGGCGCAGACAAGAAGAGCGTCTGGTTATGGTAAAGTGTGCGGCTGGCAGTGTGCCAGCGCGGGAGGAGTCGCCACACGGATGAAGCTACATCCAACCACGTCCCGACGCACTTTTGAGGAGAGAAAGTGATACTCAGTGGTACGGCTGTACCCCTATTTACCCCGCACATGGTAAGAACCGGGATCCATGGAGGCGAGTGAGGAGTCTGTCTTCAGCTTCTGAATCAGTGTTAGTCCCAAAAGTGGCAAGATGCGGTCTTCTGGTATGGTAACGCCACTGTTCCCGATGGAAAACCTGATCGGGAGAGCGCCACTTATTTTCGAGCCCGCATACAGAGCGTCAAGCCGGTCAGCTCCTTCAGGCGTCCTTTGGGCCGTTTGCGAGCATCTTCAGCTGAAGACGTTTTACGAACGGTATCGGCCTACGTGCAAAGTACACGACAGCGCCATCGAAGTTGAGTTTAGAAACTCAGAATGCGTTCATACTTTGCGTCAGCGTTTGTTTGTACACCAGCCTTTTTAGCGTACGCTAGCGCTTTCAGCGACTAAGAGTATCGATCTAGCCTTCTGAACGTAAGCTGGCGTACGCTGAAGAACCGCACTCCTTCTCACAGCCTAACGATTAGAAATAAGCGTCCGACGATTACCCTCAAACTTTAGGCGTCAATTGAACTGTCCCAGGAAAACCTCAAGCTACACAGTAACGCTAACAGAATGCCCTTTCGCTGAAATCGGCAACTAGAGAAAAGAGCTGCTGTGAATGAAAGCTGTGATGCTGGAGGCACATGGGCTGTGTGACTTTGCGAAATGGTATAGATCATTCTAAAGTGGTGGTCTCGCTACCAGTCTCGAAAAACCTGTTCAGGCAGAACTGGACTGGAAAGATTCGACTTTCATAAAGACGGCAAGAAGACAAGAACAATGATGATTTCTACTTCGGCGAGTGATTAGCATTGTTTTC